CCTACTAATATTTTTCGTTTGTCTTTCTTTAATTCAACATTTGTTCCAACTAAACCTTTTCTGTTTCGACTATAATGGCCTCCTGGATCAAGTGGTTTAATTGATTTACCACCTTCGGCACTTACTCCATGTTGTATATGTAGTTCATCTGTTTCCACATAAACTTTATTAAACGTTCTTTCGGTAGGTTTTATCTCGGCAAACTCTTTTTCTTTGCATTTGATCATCCGAAATTGACTAACTTTTTCTAACCACTTCTCACATTTTTGATTTAGAGTTTCTCCTTCCGAGCATCGTTCGAGGAAAGCACTATTCGAATTTTCTTCAAGATTACTATTGTCATCAACCAACGTTTCGTGATAACATATAGAATGAAGTTCATGGAAAAAGTATCCTTGACCAACTAATGCTTGCTCATTATCGTCATCAGAATCTTCTTCGCTACTGTCCGATTCTTCACTATCTTCATCGTCATCATTATCCGATTCAACCACAGTTTCCTTGCCCTTTTCTTTTACCACTTCAATACTTGCATCCTTCTTTAGAACACGATCTCCAATGTTTGCCGGCTTGCAATATTCAGTTGGTATCTTGAGTTCTTTGTCACCGTCTATAATCGTAAGCTCACACGATTCCCAATCCAGTTTTGCTTTTGCTTTCTTCATCCAATTGTTACCAATGATAACCGCATAGTTTCTAGCATCCGTTACAACCACACGAGAAGTAATGGTTTTTCCACCAACGGTTACTGGAAAACAATCAACTTCTCCTAAAGGTCGTTTTTGTTCGCCATGGATTCCAGTCATCAACATGGTCGAAGGGCGGTCAATTGCAATTCCAACTTCTTTTAAGAAACCCGCCGAAATGACACAACCTGAGGAACCACTATCCAAAATCAAAAGAATCGGTACATTGTTTACAAAAGCTTTGCAATACATCGACGTCGTATAATTTTCATTTGTTCGTCCTAGGCGAAAATCGATGAACTTTGACTTAGTGATTCGTCCTGGCCGTAGTATCTTCAAAGCTTCTTTTCTCAGCTTGAAACAGTTGTGCATACGTAATATCAGCCTTTTTATTTTGGAGGTTTGACATTATCGAAAATGGTTAAACGCCAATTATTACAGGAGGGTCTATCAGCTTCGTCCATTTCTTTTTTTCAATCTTTGTTTTTTTATTAACATGATTCACCTTTTTTGCTGCTTCATTTTGAGGTGGGGCTTCGACTTCGTCAGGACAATTGTCATTCTTTCGTTGTCGTTTTGCTAAATAGGCCTCCTCAATTTTTTGTACTAAGGGATTTTTTGATATTGATGCACACTCACCCTTAAAAGGTGCATCACCTAGTTTAGACGTCCGAATTCGTCCTCCATTTGAGCAAACATCGCTTGAGCTCGTGATCCATCATTGGCTTGTGCATTGCTACTATTTCCAACGTTGCCTCGATTATCGAAAACTGGTGCTTGAGGAACGTTTCTACTGTCATTACCATGGCGACTTACATTCGGGCAGCTCTTGCAACATGACCCGGTTGCTGGCACGAAAAACAAATCAATCCACGGCTATTTCTTTCTCTATGGTTTCCGTTATCCACAGGGCGACTATTGTTGTTTCCACCTCTTACAGCCATTAACACCTTTTGTAACAATGAAATCACCTCACCCACAGAATCCTGAGTCACAGTATTAGGTTGCTGATTCATCATTGACGTTTGGAGTTGCAACGATATTGACGGTTGTGATTGAAACGGCACCGACTGTTGCATTGACGCTTGGGGTTGAAAGGTTTGCTGCGATTGTGGTATCCATGGTTGTTGTAAATACGATTGTTGGGGTAAAGATTCAGTCATCGTATTGTAGATTGCCGCAGGTCCACAAAGAGCTAACCCACGTGAAAATGTCATTTCACATACCCTGGCTCTGTCAATCGCTTCTTGTAGCGTATTAGACATAAATGGCCCTACTGCTAGAGACAAATCGGGATGTAGTCCTTGCACAAACATCTGTGCTTTCACTACTTCCGGATATTGACTTCCAACTTTAGTTACATGATTGAATAACGACAACATATCGACAGCGTATTGATCTACAGTTTCTCCAACACGTTGTCGTCTCATTAATAATTCGTTAGTCCATTGGCTGATTAAGGTTTTGGAACAGAAATTTTGCTGGAATTGATGAGCAAAACTTTGCCGGGGTAAAAGATCACTATTCCAATATTGTATCCTATGCTTTACTCTAGCCCACCATAGTGCAGCTGCTCCGGAAAGATGCGGACCAACTACTGCCAACCTTCGTTCTTCTGAAATATTATTTGCCTCGAAGGCTTGCTCCACTAGCTCCAGCCATTCTATCGGGTCTTGATTTCCAGCAGCAAATGTAGGAATCTTGACTATGATTTGTTCTTTTGGCTGAGCTCTCAGCTCTAACGCATCGGCTATCGCTTGTAATATTCGCTGAGTTTGTTGATCGAGACCATCATTTGGTGTATCCAAAAGACTTACGTTAGTCTTTACATTACTGCCCTTCGGATTATAGCTTCGATCCATAACAATATCATCATCCACTCTATAGACACATTTCTTTTCTCCTTTCCCGTTTTATTACCACTCTTGGATGCGTTTACTGGTTCGTAAGTCATATATTCTTTTATAGGTTCGTCGTCGTTAGTCATTACGGCTTTACTCCAAGTTATCGTTAATATGTCTACTTATCGTTTCGTTCGTCCAAGCCTTTAATTATCTTTTCCACCGTTCGCTACTAATATATTGTCAGTTCTTTATCGTCTTCGTAACTCTAATCTAACACAGAACGGATCCGTAATTTGTTCGATTATTCAATTATTCAATTTATATTATTAATTTTGTTAGCACAACGCTAATTCGAGTCGTGTTCACTGATCTAACTATTTTTTCTAACACAAGCCGACCTTTGGCTTTTGCTCAAACTAATATTAAATTTTCAACACCAACGACCTTCGTTACGATTTTCCTTTGTTTATTATCTAAAACTTTCTATATTAATCGACTTTTTATTTCTTATTAGTGTTTATATCCACACAATGTACTAATTAATCACGGTTTTTCTTTTGTAAATCCACACAATCGGCACCATAAATGTTACGACCAAGGGAGAGTCTTGTATCCGTTCGGCCAATTTAGCAAAGGGTCGTAATCATTAACAAAGATAAAAAC